GTGTACCTCATAAAGTGGCCGGTGAGTGTATAGATCTGGATTGCATTTAAATATATTTAATGTGATTTGGAGGTAGTTGTTTGTAGTAAATGTGTTCACTGTTTGCACTTGTGAGAGACCTTAGTACAAACATATTGTAATGTCAGTTTATGTGATTGTATTGCAGTTTTACAGAACTATTCACAGAAGTAAATTCAGTTTTGGAATGAAACACAACACGGCTTCTGTCAGTTTTCTTAGCTAGCTGTCAGCTAACCATTAGTAGGACAGAATATGAACTCTTGGGTGTACATGAGGACTGAGGCTGAGAACTACTGCTAAGAAGTGTCACTTAGCTCTCCTCCCACCATCCACACTACATTCTCCAACAGCTCTCCTCCCCCACCATCCACACTACATCCTCCGACAGCTCTCCTCCACCATCCACACTACATTCTCTGACAGCTCTCCTCCCCCCACCATCCACACTACATTCTCTGACAGCTCTCCTCCCCCCCACCATCCACACTACATTCTGACAGCTCTCCTCCTCCCCCACCATCCACACTACATTCTGACAGCTCTCCTCCCCTCACCATCCACACTACATTCTGACAGCTCTCCTCCCCCCACCATCCACACTACTTCCTCCTCCGACAGATCTCCTCCCCCACCATCCACACTACATTCACTGACAGCTCTCCTCCCCCACCATCCACACTACATTCTCCGACAGCTCTCCTCCACCATCCACACTACATTCTCTGACAGCTCTCCTCCCCCACCATCCACACTACATTCTCGACAGCTCTCCTCCCCCCACCATCCACACTACATTCTCCGACAGCTCTCCTCCACCATCCACACTACATTCTCCGACAGATCTCCTCCCCCCATCCACACTACATTCTCTGACAGCTCTCCTCTCCCCCCACCATCCACACTACATTCTCTGACAGCTCTCCTCCCCCCACCATCCACACTACATTCTCCGACAGCTCTCCTCCACCATCCATCCACGCTACATTCTCCGACAGATCTCCTCCCCCATCCACACTACATTCTCCGACAGCTCTCCTCCCCCCACCATCCACACTACATTCTCTGTCAGCTCTCCTCCCCCCACCATCCACACTACATTCTCCGACAGCTCTCCTCCCCCCACCATCCACACTACATTCACTGACAGCCCTCCTCCACCATCCACACTACATTCTCCGACAGCTCTCCTCCCCCCACCATCCACACTACATTCTCTGACAGCTCTCCTCCCCCCACCATCCACACTACATTCTCTGACAGCTTGCTCCTCTCTATGTGCAGTAACTTCTTTTGTGGGCTCCTTCCAATGCATTTACTGCAGAATTCTTTTGAGTAGTCCATAAGTATGTCTTTACCCAATGGACCAACAGTGTAAAGATCATTCTTCTTTCCAACTGCCATCAATCTAAGGAAGTCCTTCTGCACTGACCACCTATGCAAAACGTTCCTTCGCTTACCACCAATGTAAGGATGGGAATCCGGATTGGATGCCTCGGGTTAGTGTGGTTTTTACAGTGATCCTTTCTGTAATCAGTGAGCAGGATCCATACACTTTTTTAGCAAAACACAAAAATAACAGGCAGACTGGGCTCCAGTTTTTGTCCCTGCATTTTATCTTTATCATGTATTGCTGTCATTGCTCGTTTCTTGCCATGTATTAAAAAAAATTGTAATTCTACACCCACAGTTGATCCAGAGGAAGGCAAAAAAAAAAAAAAAGCCCAGCAAAGCATGATCCAATTTGCTCCTGCAGGGAAAAAATTCCTTCCTGATCCCCCGAGAGGCAATTGGATACTCCCTGCATCAACTTTCCCTATAAATGTTATATTCAGTTATATTCTGTATATCTAAGAAAGGATCCAGGACTTTCCTACAGCAATCCACTGAGCTGGCCAGAACCAACTCTTGAGGGAGTCTATTCCACATTCTCACAGCTCTTACTGTGAAGAAACCTTTCCGTGTTTGGAGATTAAATTTCTTTTCCTCCAGACATAAAGAGCGCCCCCTTGTCCTCTGTGATGACCTCAGGGGGAATGAGTCTACACCGAGTTCACTATATGAACCACTGATGTATTTATACATGGAGATCATATCCCCCCCTTATGTATTATACATGGAGATCATATCCCCCCCTTATGTATTCTACATGGAGATCATATCCCCCCTTATGTATTATACATGGTGATCATATCCCCCCCTTATGTATTATACATGGTGATCATATCCCCCCCTTATGTATTATACATGGTGATCATATCCCCCCCTTATGTATTATACATGGTGATCATATCCCCCCCTTATGTATTATACATGGTGATCATATCCCCCCCCTTATGTATTATACATGGTGATCATATCCCTCCTTATGTATTAAACATGGTGAGATCATATCCCCCCTTATGTATTATACATGGAGATCATATCCCCCTTATGTATTATACATGGAGACCATATCCCCCTTATGTATTATACATGGAGATCATATCCCCCCCCCCCTTATGTATTAAACATGGTGATCATCACCCCCCTTATGTATTAAACATGGTGATCATATCCCCCCTTAATCTCCTCAAGAGGAGAAGATTTTATGTGGAGCTTACCCTCACATGCACCACTTGAGGTGATGGGTTCTTTGTTCTGCCACAACTCGCACGCTCCCCACTGACACATCTGGTTATAGATTGAAGGCCGATCAAACTTAAGCATTAGAATGCTGCCACACTATAATAGTACACAGAAAACAGGCCACAAGCAACTTGGTTGATCAAATCGGTGTATTACGGCAAGGCAGGTTAGACAATGCATACACCAGTAAACAGACAACTGAACAAGTCTGAACAGGCCAGACAAAATAGGATGTGTAACAACCTATAACAGGGCAATAAACTGAATGTAATAAAGTTAAATCCACATCTTAATTGGTGGAAACTGTCGGAAATATAGACATTAACAAACCGAAGGAAATATCCATATGTTCACCCTCTGCATACAGCCCTAATTGAGGATGGGTACATTTGTTCCTGACAAGGGGACAAGTGGGTATAAAGTACCAGGTGCCTACTTGGCAGAATTATCAGGCTATCATCGGGGCCTGTCTGTAGGTGGTGCATGTGAATCTGTCTTTTTAAAACTGTAAACACTGAACGACTGATGGGCTGCTAACTTAGGAGTGTTCTCTATAGGCAAAAAACTGTGGGCAGTAATTATTTAAGCTCACTTGTCCCGACACAGATTCAGTGTCCAGTGCATTTGGTGCTCTGTTGTCCCAGAAGGCTGCCTGCTTCCCTGGTTCTGACTTCAGCCAGATATTTGAACCTCGCTCTGAACAGGCCAGAAAAAATAGGATGTGTAACAAGCAATAACAGGGCAATAAACTGAATGCAATAAAGTTAAATCAACATCTTAATTGGTAGAAACTGTGGAAAATATAGACATTACCAAACCAAAGGAAATATCCTTATGTTCACCCTCTGCATACGGCCCTAATTTAGGGTGAGTGCATTTGTTCCTGACAAGGGGAACACCGGAAGTGGGTATAGAGCACGAGGTGCCTAATTGTCAGTATTATCAGGCTATCACTGGGGCCTGTCTGTAGGTGGTGCATGTGAATCTGTCTTTTTAAAACTGTAAACGCTGGACAGCTAATGGGCTGCTATGAAGCGTTCTCTACAGGCATTAACTGTGGACAGTTATTGGCTAAGCTCATCACTCCTGTTTCGCCACAGATTGAGTCCAGTGCGCTCGGTAGTCTGTTGTCCCAGAAGGCTAAGTCCTCATGATTGGGTTCTTCCAAGGCTCAGTCCTCTGGCTCTGGGGACACACAGAACACACTCAATCTCCACACAGGGTCTGTTCTCACTGGTTTTGTGCACAGACCCCAGCAGCAGGTCAGCACCCTTTGGCTCTCTGGGCTGCACTTCCTCCGTGGCGTCGTCCTCTCTCTCTCTCGGGTGTCCGAGCGTAGGATGCAGCAATCTCACTGAGCTGCTCTTCTCTCTCCTGGTAAAGACCCCAACCTCCCTTGAAATGCACAGGAAAAGCTCTCTCCCTCCTCCTCTGGATTGCAGGGGGTTTTGTGGGGACTGTAGTTTGCAGCTCAATCTTCTCCATGGCGCCATGCTACTTGGGAACTACAACTCCCAGGTTGCATTGCACCTGGTGGAAGGGAGAGAACACAAGCGGGCACGCAACAGGCAGAGCACCCGACTGCAGGTACCGAACTTTCAAACCGCCCCCCTAAAAACGTGAAGATTTTCTCTATGGCCCCAATGTTTGGTGATGAGAAATGGACACCACTTGGACCTCCCTGCCCCCCACCTTTGGAGAATCTGAGGCTCACAGAGTTACAGTTCTCTACTTTTTTCTTTGCATCCCCCCGTAATAAATTATGAGGGTCTCCACTCTCTGTGCTATGTATGCAGAATAAAGACGACTGGGGATACTGCCAAGTGGGGGGGGGGGGGACAGAAACTGTAACAGGCACAACATCCCCCCCTACTGGAATTTCCAAAAAATGCAAGAAGACTCTGCCCATCAAACTCCACCTATAAATCTGATATTACTTTACCCAGGATGCCCCGCCTTTATGAATTAAACATTTTCTTCCTACAGTCATGCTATGGATTCAACAGTTCCAGCAGTAAAAACCATCGTACATTGGTAGAAAGAATTAGCAGCGGCTTTACTGATATCCAATCGGACTTCTTTTATCTGTAAAACATTTCCTGCACTTTGAATGCCTTGAGGACGCAGTGCAGCGTGTCCTCGCTGGTGTGTATCACGGCTTCTTTTCTGAGTGAAAGATTTCCCGCACTGAACATGATCAAGGCCGCTCACCTGTGTGCATTTTCTGGGATTCCTTTCAGAGTGAAAGATTTTCCACACTCTGAGCACGAACAAGAACGCTCAACCGTGTGAATTCTCTGGTGTCTAAGAAGAGCTTTTTTAACAGTGAAAGATTTCCCACACTCTGAACATGAATAAGGGCGCTCGCCCGTGTGAATTTTCTGGTGTCTAACCAGGTTTCCTTTTTGAGTATAGGATTTCCCACACTCTGAACATGAATAGGGATGCTCACCCGTGTGAATTCTCTGGTGTTGAACGAGGCCTCCTCTTTGACTGAAAGATTTCCCGCACACTGAACACAAAAAAGGACGCTCACCGGTGTGAACTCTCTGGTGCCCAAGAAGGACACTTTTCTCAGTGAAAGATTTCCCGCACTCTGAACATGAATAAGGGCGCTCGCCTGTGTGACTTTTCTGGTGTTTAACAAGATTTCTTTTACAAATGAAAGATTTCCCGCACTGTGTACAAAAAAAAGGGACGCTCACCCGTGTGAATTCTATGGTGTTCATTAAGTGCTCTTTTCCGAGAGAAACATTTCCCGCACTTCGAACAAGAGAATAGCTGCTCACCTCGGTGAGCTCCTTCATGGGGTGAGGAAGATTCCTTGGGATTAGATGAATCTGTTGGTCTATCTGCAGTGTGAGATCCTAAATGAACATTTGCACTCCTAGTATGTGATTGGTCAGAAGATTCCCCCTGATCAGAGGGATCCATTGATGTCTCCGGACAGGAAGGTCTGTGATGGATATTGGGTGTATTTGGATTCACTCCTGGAGAATTCTGTGTGATAGCATTATCTTCTGACTTCCAATCAGCAGATAATAGAAGACGTCTCTCAGAGGAATTCCTGACATCAGCGCCATCTGATGGAGAGAAATGGAAGAAATGTCAGAATTCACAAAATAACTGGAGATTTAGCTCCTCCCCCCGTCAGTGGAATAAGTGGAAATCTCGATTTCACAGCTGGGCTCCTGTTTTCCCTCCAAAATCGATCAGAAAAGTGTTCACACCGAGTCGATATATGATCTGCAGATTCTTTAACCACTTCCAGTCCAGACACTTTCCCCCCCTTCCAGTCCAGACACTTTCACCCCCCTTCCAGTCCAGGCGCTTTCACCCCCCTTCCAGTCCAGGCGCTTTCACCCCCCTTCCAGTCCAGGCGCTTTCACCCCCCTTCCAGTCCAGGCGCTTTCACCCCCTTCCAGTCTGGACGCTTTCACCCCCTTCCAGTCTGGACGCTTTCCCCCCCTTCCAGTCCGGACGCTTTCCCCCCTTCCAGTCCGGACGCTTTCCCCCCCTTCCAGTCCGGACGCTTTCCCCCCCTTCCAGTCCGGACGCTTTCCCCCCTTCCAGTCCGGACGCTTTCCCCCCCCTTCCACGCTTTCCCCCAGACGCTTTCACCCCGTTCCAGTCTGGACACTTTCACCCCCCTTCCAGTCCGGACGCTTTCAACCCCCTTCCAGCCGGACGCTTTCAACCCCCTTCCCGTCTGGACACTTTCAACCCCCTTCCCGTCCAGGCCAATTTTCAGCATTCAGCGCTATCACACTTTGAATGACAATTGCGCGGTCATGCAACACTTTACCCATATGAATTTTTTATCATTTTTTGAGACAGATAAAGCTTTATTTTGTTGGTATTTATTCACCGCTGGGATTTTTATTTTTTTTGCTATGTAAATTAAAAAGTCCAACAATTTTGAAAAAAAGTGTTTTTCTTCTAAAATTTTGCAAATAAATATTATTTCATCATAAATCTCGGCCAAAATTTATTCCGTTATCTTTTTAGTGAAAAAAGAAATAACCCAAATTAGTTTATAACCAAAAATTATACTTTTAAAAAAATTTTCTTACATTTTTTCTAATTTTTTTATATTATGTTTTGGTTTTTTTTTTTTTTACATACTGTCACCCTAGCAGTACAGTGTCACCATGGTGACACTGTACTACTTGTGGGGGGGTGATGATTTTTTTTTTTTTTACACTGATTGCTTTTACACCCATAAAGGCTGTAAAAGCAATCATTTCTCCTTCTCCCTGGCTGCATTCTTGCAGCCATTGAGAAATACTGTGAGAGCTGTGATTGGTCACAGCTTGTCACATGATATAAGGCTGCTGTGAATGGCCTTGTACCATGTGACCTCTGTGTTCATTCACAGATTTCACACGTAGTAAGCAATGAGGTAAGAAGTGACATCTTGCTTACTACTCTTCATGTGATCACTGATTGGCCAATCAGTGATCACATGATCGGGACCTCACACAGAGGTCCCGTACCGCGATCGGTGTTCCATTGTGTCCGGAAGACACAGCGGGCAACGGATCGCGGTGCTGTGCGCTCCCAGGGAGCGCGCACAAGCAGGGGCGGGGAGGCCGTTTATAAACGTCCACCCGCCCCTGCACTGCCACCGTCCGGTCGTTTATATACATGGGCCGGACGGGAGGTGGTTAAAATGAAAGAGCTATGACTAATGCCAGCCATACATGGGTCGAAATTTGACCGATTTTTCGTATGAAAATCGGACCTAAGAATAATCGGCTGATTTTCGCTCTGTTAGTGGGTCAATGGCAGCCTTCTCAATGATCGGGCATGTTGGAAAATGCATGAAAAATGACCAATTTTCATCTCGATGGTCAAATCGTACCATCGTTTTTCCGAAAAAGAATATGCGCATGGGCCACAACCTGGAAGGAACATAAGTTTCCCCCATTATATGGGGGTGAACTTTATGACTCAGTCAGCCGATTTTTGAAATCATTGATGGCACCGCCGGATTACCGAGTGAACAACGTTTTCGATTTTCGGATGAAAAATCGTTCGGAATTCGACCCATGTATGGCCTGCATTAGTCTTCATTAGCGGTTGGTTACTGCATTGGATTGCCTGAATTTTTGCTTTTAAAGAATTTGTAGATCATATGTGGACTCCAATGTGAACACTTTTCTATAAATGTCAGTGATAACACACGTTGGTCTAGGAGTCGATAGTTTTAGGGCCACTTCACACCAGAATGAATTGACGAAAACTCGCGTTCCATGCGCGTATCCTGCACAGCGCTCAAAACGCACCACACTTGCGATCTGCAGCAGGTGTCACTGCAATGCTAATGACACCCCAAATGCAGTGCATTTGCCTGTACCAGATCACATGGTACAGAAGTACCATGTAATCTGGTTGCTGTGCACTGCTTTTGCTGCAGCCCGGTGAGATTTCAGCTCATTCAAATGAATGTAGCTGGATGGCATGTGCACTGTGCGTTCCTGTGCGATTCATACTATGAACTGGTTCTTACAGAGCTCTAGCATGGAACTTAGAACAGATGTAACATTAGAATATGAAAATAAACCAAAACGGATACAAAACCACAAAATACTTTGGCACATTGGGTGAAATTGTTTTGTGCGTTAATGATAGCTATGGGAAGTAATGGAGATGCCCCCTCATTTTGTTTGGAACATGACATTATATTGAGGAACGGAGATGGACCTTCCATATGGTTTCCAGTATCTCCTTCTCATTTGTTGGGAACATGATGTTCTATTGAGGAATGGAGATGGACCTTTTATATGGTATCCAGTATCTCCTCATTTGTTGGGGACATGAGGTTATATTGAGGAACGGAGATGGACCTTCCATATGGTGTCCAGTATCTCCTCCTCATTTGTTGGGGACATGACGTTATATTGAGGAATGGAAATGGACCTTCCATATGGTGTCCAGTATCTCCTCCTCATTTGTTGGGGACATGACATTATATTAAGGAATGCAGATGGACCTTCCATATGGTGTCCAGTATCTCCTCCTCATTTGTTGGGGACATGATGTTATGTTGAGGAATGGAGATGGACCTTTCATATGGTGTACAGTATCTTCTCATTTGTTGGGAACATGACGTTATATTGAGGAATGGAGATGGACCTTTCATATGGTGTACAGTGTCTTCTCCTCATTTGTTGGGAACATGACGTTATATTGAGGAATGGAGATGGACCTTTTATATGGTATCCAGTATCTCCTCCTCATTTGTTGGGGACATGAGGTTATATTGAGGAATGGAGATGGACCTTCCATATGGTGTCCAGTATCTCCTCCTCATTTGTTGGGGACATGACGTTATATTGAGGAATGGAAATGGACCTTCCATATGGTGTCCAGTATCTCCTCATTTGTTGGGGACATGACGTTATATTAAGGAATGCAGATGGACCTTCTATATGGTGTCCAGTATCTCCTCCTCATTTGTTGGGGACATGACGTTATATTGAGGAATGGAAATGGACCTTCCATATGGTGTCCAGTATCTCCTCCTCATTTGTTGGGAACATGACGTTCTATTGAGGAATGGAGATGGACCTTTTATATGGTGTCCAGTATCTCCTCCTCATTTGTTGGGGACATGATGTTATGTTGAGGAATGGAGATGGACCTTTCATATGGTGTACAGTATCTTCTCCTCATTTGTTGGGAACATGACATTATATTGAGGAATGGAGATGGACCTTTCATATGGTGTACAGTGTCTTCTCCTCATTTGTTGGGAACATGACGTTATATTGAGGAATGATGGACCTTTCATATGGTGTCCAGTATCTCCTCCTCATTTGTTGGGGACATGACGTTATATTGAGGAATGGAGATGGACCTTCCATATGGTGTCCAGTATCTCCTCCTCATTTGTTGGGAACATGACGTTATATTGAGGAATGGAGATGGACCTTCCATATGGTGTACAGTATCTCCTCCTCATTTGTTGGGTGCAGCTTAACCACCACTAACAGCGCGATCTTACTTCTACTTACATGTGTCGATAGGTGCAGAAATTTCATCCTGTTCACTCTTCATCATCATGTCAACCTCCTCTGTGGACGGCTGATCACCCCCAACATACGTCTCCACTTCTTCCTCTTTAACCTCAGATTTTATATGAATCTGTTCTTCACTCTAAGCCCCAAAATAGTAGAAAATAAACATGAATTTAAAGCTTCAGGCAGATATATAGAAGACAAATAAAAGCATAGAAAGAGTAAAGGGAAAAATTAAAATGGGGGGTGCTCCAAGGGAGAGCTGAAAATGTGATGAGCGAAGGCTTCACTTCAGATGTAAAAGTGATTAAAGGGATGGTTCACCTGAAAGAGATCATACCTGATGACAGTGAGGGATGGTGTGACCTTCCTGTGTAGAATCCCAGGAATACAGAGAACAACCCTCCTCCATAGACTGCTGATCTCCACTTACCAACATCTTTTCTTCCTCTTCAATTTCACATTTGATCTCTTTCAGTTCTTCCCCCTAAATCCCGAAGATGATAGTAAAAGGTTTGTAAAAGAGAGCATGAAATTACATAGAAGAATGTCATTTCATAGCTTGGGATACATGTTTAGATCTCCATGCTTAGTCATACCTACCTGATGATGGTGAGGGACGGTGTGACCTTCCTGTGTGGAATCCCGGGAATACA